ATGTAGATATATTAGGCCATGTTGATTTGATTATAGGGATGACATCCTCCGGGAGCCCAAAACTGATGCGCGCGTGCGAATAAAAAAAAGTTTTGCAAAAAAAAAAAAAGTTATTTTCATTATGAAATCTACGTGTTCATGAGGGTTGAGCAAATGGCACAGGATATGGTTTGGCGAATAATCTAGTCTTTAAGTTCATTTCTTTACAATTTCGTCTTTTTTCGTCTGATTTTGGCATTCTATGACATTGGTATAGTTTTTATTAATTTTTTTTGTAACTTATGGTATATTTTTGCTCATTTTGCAACTGTTTTGCACGATTTACAGAATGGTTGAAAACTTTTTTTTTTTGGAAACGGCCGAAAATTCATGCGCGCGCGGATGTCATCCATAGAATCAAATCAACATGGCCTTACTGAACACCATGTCCGTAGCCAGGATTTTGAGGGGGGGGGGGGTTCCCAGTGCTTGAAGGACCAGGGGGGTCCGGGGTATGCTCCTTCGGAAAATTTTGGAAAACGAACCTTCTGAAATGGCATTTCCTGAAATGGCGTTTTTAAGAGGATTTCAAAGAAAAGATCTTTAACTTTTTTTTTTATTAAATGACAAAGTATGCAGTTTTGTTTACGATTACAGTCCCGCTGGTGATACGAAACAGTCCATCTAAAGAAAAATCTTGGACCTAAGGATAAAAAGTGGACCAAAAAGTGGACTTTTGAGCCTTCTGGGGATTCTTCCTTACAAGCCCCACACCTCCCAATGGCTACGGGCATGAACACTGCCGAAAGTTGACTAAAATTAAAATCGTTTTTAACTCGGAAGGTCCTGAATGTGTAGGTTGGGTAACTTGGTTGAGATGCAACGTTTAAGTTTGCATTTCATTTTGATCAATATTCACAGTACTGTGGTAAATGTCATTCCGATTGCTGACGGATATCAGTTTTTGGGTATGAAAATCAGTTTTTGGGTATGAAACATAGATCAAAACATTTATCGGAGACAATCCCGGATTTATCTATCAATTGTAACTTGTGGTTATTTTTTAACGACCTTGCACAGTGCAAAGCCACTAGGGCCACTTGGTAGCCTGGTTATCAAACCTATCTTAGCTCCCGAGTCATAGATCCTATCTATTTGCCGATATGTAGGACTCGGGAGCTAAAATAGGTTTCGTGGGGTCGTGTGGCGTAGCGGCAGAGTGCGCGACCCGAAACCTAGACGTTCGAGTCCTGACATGCCACCGATCTTGTGCCCTTGGGAAAGGCAGTTTACACGAATTTCCTCACTTCGCTCAGGTGAAAATGAGTATTGTCCTGTCATGTATTTGTCCCCTGTTTTGGTGGCGGCATTAACATAAGTTGATAAAACGTCACCACGTCTGGTGATTACATGTTGGAATAAAAAAAAGATAATGAAATAGGTTTGATAACCAGGCTAACTTCTGGGCACTGAGCTTACGCTCACCAAAGCAGCATTTCTTCTCCAGTTGTGTTGACTAACTGACACAATTGGCGGAGTAGTGGTTGCGAAAACCACTTAAAATAAGGACCACTTTTGATAAGTGTGGCGTGGTGGAGGTGTGGCTCTTCCTTTTTCGTCTATTCCGAGCGAACGTCCCTAACCGAAACTATAGGTTTAAGTGGGGTGAGGAAAGCTGTCTAAAATGCATTTTCTAGAGACACAAGATCTGTCACATGATAGGGTTCGAACCCAGGACCGCTCGGTTCTAAGTCGAACACTCGACCAATACACATGACTGTACCGTAGCCCACAAGTACACGCAGGCGGCGCAGGTGTTTGCGCAGGCGACGCAGACATGTACTTATGGGCCACGGTATGATTGCTAGTTACGGTAACAGTTCTAATCAAATGACAACCTCGCAAACAGTTTCTTCTAAAATGTGACCTCTTGTGCCATATATTCAGTTATAACCTTTGTCATCTTTATACAATTCTTTGAGACACCGCGAATATTTCAGGTCACAAAGATTTTTTTGACGAAAATGGAAGCACAGCAACTATTGTATACAAACGTTTCTATAGAATAACATTCAATTACACTTGTGACAAGGAAGAGGAAGAATGCTAGCACTCGACCTGGCTTCCAGTTACAATTGGGCACAAATGCAATTATTATTATAGGACATTACATCGACCATAAAAAGATAGTTGGTCCTAGCATTCTTCCTATTCCAGATATGCCTATGATATGACACAATGATTCCAGACGTATTTTTTTTACATATCATCATATCATATATACGATATCTGTAGCTTATACCTCGGATAAAATCACAGTTTACTGGAGGTACGTGTCCGATGACTTCTTGGCAGGATGTAACGTGAAATACAAACAACGACAACACTGCCACCAATAAGTGTGTACATCAGATTTTTTTTTTTACATGAGATGCCCGCCATTCAGTTCTGACTGCAATAACATTTAAAATCGCTACGTGGCGTCCGGATCGTATCCAAGAAGTCAACATGGCGAGCCCTTGCGAAAATTTCTGACAATGGCAACTTCGTTGTAGATTTTTAAAAACACGTCTACAAAAATCGTCAGAGTTGTAGATAGCACAATAGCTTATGTGTTAGTGTGCTTCAGTCAAATGTTGGTGCAGCACAAAGCTTTGCAGGAGTTGCCATTTCAGTGAAACATTGGCAGAGGGCCTCGGACGCGAAGTTCAAAACGTATACCTAGACTGTAAATACTTCCCTCCTTTTTCTGCGGCTTTATCCAAATGGTAGACACCAATTGACGATATCGAACATGCTTCATTATACGAGATTAGGCCACACCGACTTAATTTTATGGATAACATTCGGGCGCGCATTGATTTTCGCATGTTCTCAAAAAAAAAAAAAAAGATCACGTCCTCCGAGGCTCTGGCCTGGCTCTAGGACTGGGTTGTCCATGGTCGTTATCGACAATACGGAGCCGGAGGTAACTCTGGAGGATGGCACCCAGGCTACAGAAGCTCCACGACTCAAGAACGTATATTTTAGTACATACGTACAGTGCCGGTTTATGAATTCCGCAAAAAGCCAGCATGTACAGGCTTGTCGTAAATGTCGGTATGTACTGCTGCAAATTCATAATACCTGCTTTGTATTCCTGTGGTTTAGTGGCAGTTTTATTTTTGGGTCGGATTTTTTTTTATTCACCCGCGCGCACTAGTTTGGGGGTCTTCAGAGGATGTCATCCATAAAATTAAGTCTGTGTGGCCTTAATAACAAATATAAGACACAACAAACGTCCTCTCCGCGCTATAGCTGTGTACATTCACGTATATATTCACGACAATATCGGACGATTTGCCACTGAAAGTTTTGGCAATGACAAGATGGCGACGAAATAGGCAACAGTTTCAATTCTCTCTACCGGAGTATCTAATAATAGTAACAGCCTCCAGTTTAATTCCGGACTACCAGTATAATTCGGGACTAATTCCATAACTCAGCAACCTTACATCTAGATGGGTAATATCGTAAACTATAGGTAAAATTAGTGTAAAAAATATATTTACGTAGCAGCCATTGAGGAACCCTTGGGGATGAACACTATATATTCTGCAGAATTCTGCACAGAATGCTGGCTCCAGTTCCCAGAATTCTGCAGAATTAGGTTAATTCCCAAGGGGTCCTCAATGGCTGCTACGTAAATATATTTCTTACATTATTTTTAACAGATGTTACGTAATATATTTGTTACATTTTTTTACCCATAGTTAACGATATGTTTTAGCCTATCTAGATGTACAGTTGTTGGGATAGGGGAATTAGTCCGGAATTTTAAACTGGAAGTCCGGAATTAACCCGGAGGCTGTTTGGTCTGTTGTGTAGCTCTTGTTCTACGGTAAAGAAAGGCGTCGGTCTCTGTCAGACATGGCTGGGCGGACGTTCGCTGGCCGGGATGCCGACTCGGACCGACGTGTCCTTCGTTTTAACGGGGTTGACTCCACCGTTGGAGAACGCTGAATAGGCAACATGAAACAATTGTTTTTAGAGTGGTGATAGATGTAAATGATCAAAATATTTCTTGTGCAACACCATGGGATATTTAAAGACTAGGCATGGTGACGGCACACTCAAGTTTTAACTTTTTTTTACTATCACACATTCACTGATTCAGGGCCTTGTCCCAAATACCTGCCACGCTCGAGAGCAGTCTGACGAGATTTAGGCCACACCTACCTTTACATACGAATCTGAGTTAAATTTGAGGCAAACTTGACCCCCAAACACAAATACATTGTCTGATACTATCATAAAAGTTCATCTGTGTTGGTAGTTAAATGTTTAGAGTAAAACTTTCGATCCATCACAAAAAAGTTCTCTCACCTAGAGCTTTCGACGAGTCACCGAACCGCGACGGGGGCCGACATCGTCTACCAAATACCTTTGACCCGTGTTGACGTCACACTTCAAAGAAGCCACGTGACAAGCCTCACTGGGTCAGTCTACTGAGGAAGACCAGAGTGACTGGTCGAAAGCTCTAGGTGAGAGCACTTTTTTTGTGTTGAATCTAAAGTTTTAATTCTAAACCCTGTCAGATACATTTACAAACTTACCCTTGCCTTTTGCTGGTCGCTGAGTGTGAACAACGGGGTTTTGTGAGGCGGCCTCCTCTTCTTCACTTTGGAAGATATTTCCTAACACCCCTTCGACATTTCCTGTAGGATCAGATAGAAGGTATTTATCAAGCAGAATAAATGACAAATCGCACAGAGAAAACAGTGCTAATAAATGGTCATCATGTTTTATTCAAATGGCACGGCATTAGTCACGTAAGTCATAAATTTATCTTTTTGGCGACGTCTCAGGGAGGAGCCTAATGGTACAGTATTGTGTGCAGTTTGCAAGAATTCTAGGAATGGTACAGACATTTTGTCCACAGGAATGGAATGCCCACAGGCATGTCTCTGACCCACATCTATGCCCACATTCCTGGAAACCCTTGGGAAGACCTCTCTGCCCCATAGCCCTACTTTCTGTGACCCCAGGGCTCGTTCACTATACACTCAGGGGAGGAGTGCACTGTATCTGTCTAGACTTAACAGTTACCAAATCTTCCTTAAAATCATGAAATCATGACAGTGCCATGCAAACAATTACCCTAACAGCAACCACTGTCGCCATGGCAAAGTATGTCTTCATTGCCAGTCTTGTTTGTAATGTGGGAGCTATTGCAACTAAAGATATGTTTGGAGCATCGTGTTTCTTGAAATTTTTAATATTAGAATCAAGAAATGTGAATAGCTTATTACACAAAACATCATATCTATAGCATTCCATGACAAGGTAGAATTCATCTTATGTTCTAAGATGTTTAATATATATTTCCCTGTAATCACGAATGTGTGTAAATATGTAAATATTATACGTTTGGGAATGCATATATAGCAGCGACACCTGTGCTGCAGTGCAATGTAAACCATTCAGAATTGCCCTGAGAAAGGTGAGAGACGGTCACCGAAACCTCGGCTGTGAATAAAAGACTTGGTTGTGTAAAAAGGGTCTCTTTACTCGGTGACTTACAAACTTGATGAAACTATTCACGGATCTTATGTTTTATCGTTGACTCTAAGGGAGTCACAATGTCAAAGGGTCGCTGCCACTTACCGATCGCCTTCTCCTTTGCTTTCCTTGTTGCCTCTGCCGCCTGTTTCCATCTTGCTATTGCCATCAAAGCAATTCCGGGTAGCTCCGTCTTTGGTGAAGTTGGGCTGTCATCCTGTATCTCCTTCGATGACCTTTTGTTCCCGCCCATGGACGTCGGATTGCTTGGGTTTGCATTATGAGGCATGGGTGGGTTTCGAACCCGTGGCTGTATGGGCACTGGATTTTGATAATTCGAGTTTTTGTCCTGGAGAAATCCAAAGGGCCCCTCACGGACGTCGGTAGGGTTGGTGTGTATGTTCGAGGGGTTGTCTGTTGTTTTCTTCAGAGTGTTTGAATTTTCCCGATTGCCCGTTGCTTGTGTTACTAACGTTTCAAGTTGTGGGGTGGCCTTTTTTGACCGTTCGGCTGTCCTTTGTGCTAACAGTTTGCTAGAAGAAGCGGTTTTTCTCCACCTAGCAGCCGCCGCCCAGGCGGGCAAATTATCTGGTAGGTTGCTCTCCTTTTTCTCTGCAGGAGCAGGATTCTCAACAATCTGGTTTACTATGGGGCTGTCTTCCGACATGGACTTTTTTCTCCAGCCCGCAAAGCTTTCTTTGGCACGTCTAACTCTGCTGTCGTCCTCAAGGGAGGACTGTTTCCGCAACAGCTCGGGTTTTTTAGTCTGTGGAGCCGGGGCTGGTGGGGTTGGGTCCGGCGCTGGTTCTTTCCTTTCCTCCAAGGTCGTCACATGCATGGAGCCTCTCCTCCACCGGTTACCCATGCTGTGGACAGAGTCGCTGCTCTTATCCGAAATAATGTTTCTTTTGACACGCATATCTTCCGCCTGTAACGACCCTCTTCTTAGAGAGCTATACTTCCCGACGCTCTCCAGTTCCTTACCGTTTGTATTTCTGTTGGTGAGGATCCCCCGTGTTGGGAGGTTGTCCCGCGAATACGGCGAACGACTGAGCTGTCCCGTCGACTTCGCTTCACCGTCGGGTGGAAAAATCTGGTTCTGGTTTTCGTTTATTTTCACACCCTCTTTCAGGTGATTCCCCGACGAGCTTCTGTATAGTTCTCCCGCTCGGTGCTTTTGAAGAGCGAGGGCGGCGACTTTCCGCCATCTTAGCTTGGCCGGGCTGACATTGCCAACGGAACCAGATGTCCGTAGGAGGATCTGGGAGTCTTCGTCTCCGTCCAGTCTGAAGAGGTGACCGTGAGGTTTTCTCCACTTGGTGGCTGCCTCTGTTTCCGCGGCCTCCTCTCCCTCTGCGTCCCCTCGGTAGTCGTCCTTGGGACCGGTATCCAGCAGGTCTGATCTCCACTTCACCCGGGGACCGTTGGAGTCTTTGTTTCCAACGAGGGCTTCACTTGAAGATAACACCGTCGTCAAGGTCTCTGCTGTTTCGTTGGGATCTGCTAAAAGTTGCATTTAAATAATTCCGTTAGATCATAATCGTATAATTATATATGATTCTCGTGACAATTCATTCGTGTATTTCTACACTGTGATTCGTGTATTTCTACACTGTAATAACTACAAAGCACCCAATGCAATTTCAGGGAGACATTCTGAATGAGAAAATTTGTCTGATATTAACATAAATTTGTTTATAATTCATAGCACATTTTCACCATTTTTAATGTTTAATCGTTCGAAATAGAAAAAAAAAACATTTATTTATTTATGGGTACCACCAATAAATAACTATATAAAACAAGAAATAAATAACTATATAAAACAAGAACTAATTTCCGTCAGTGACATCCTATTGTTGCCTCAAAGATATCAGTATGCTATGAATAGGATTGATTTAATTTACTACAAGATTTACCAGAGAATCGACTTTGAAAATCTGGCTACGTTACAAAACAAACAGCAGTTTTCCTTCAGTGACATGGTATTTTTCCTAACAATATGCTATGGGATAGGGTTGACACAATGTGCAAGACAATTGAAAATCAATTTTAATGCCCTGAAATTGCATTGGGTGCATTAAAAGTTCAAAAGAGGAATGTTAGGTAGACTAGTGTCGTCGTTGCTGATAAAGATTCCTTTTTTTAAATTTACAATTCAACATGGACAATACAAGACATGGTGGTGAGGTACTTCAAACTTCATAGCAATGAAGATTCCCTTCATTGCTATTGTTGTGATATTGGTAACACACCTTACCTTAAGGTTGGTATGCCCTGATGCAGGATCCTCCTAGGAGAGAAGGAAGCCATCTACATCAGGGCATACCAACCTTCTCTCAACCGGGACGTGGGGCGGTACCGACTTCCGATGAACTTTGACACAGCACTTGGGTCAGAAAGCTGATGACCACCGAGCGATTCTTTCGAAAATTCTGGCGAGTCAATTTTTTTGACTTGCAGAATCGTTTAGTTTTCATTGTGTATTTTACCAACTCAGTTGAACTTTCATGCTATCATTATATGTATATTAGTATTCATATTGACAATACCATCAAATGCTCCAACGGTCTCCCGAAGTTTCCCCATGCGTTGGAAAGTGCCATAAACAGACATGCCCTTTGTATGAACTCAGGTAGCATGCTGCAAACCGTGCATGGGTGAAGGATGAGTTGATGCATTCAGAGATGACGAGCACCAAGGTGCAACCACGTATCAGGGCTCGAAACTCATTTTTGAGAATAGGTGCGCTGGTGTGCCCAACATAGAGAAAAAAAGGGTGCTCAATTTGTTTTGGTGCACCATATAGAATAATCTTAAAGATTTTATCATTTTTCTGACACTTAGATGTCAAGAATATGTTGTTTACCATATAGCTAATATACATTTCATATCTTTATATACATAAACCTACGAAGTGCAACGGCACACCCACAGAAAAAATTGGGTGCACAGCTCCAATTTTAGGTGCACCAAGGTGTACATGCACCCAGTATTTCGATCCCCGCACATGCAAATTTACATGCATGGCAGTATACGGCACGATGGGCAAACGTTTAACCTATACTACTGCAGAACATAAAACAACTACGATGCACCTATGGATGCCTTACGGGCCTCTACCGCCTTTCTCCACTTGGCCACGGCCTGCTGGACCATGGCCTCCTGTTTGGAGACGCGGCGAGGTCGTACGTTCATCTCCGGATGTAGAAGGACTATGTACAACTTGGGTGCGAACAAGCAGCAGAGAAGGACGGTCGCACTCAGGATTAGGGACACCGACAGAGCCATGAATTGGATCTCTTCCTGTGTATGTAAACATCGCATGTCAGTGTTTTAAACTTTTGCTCGAACACAAAGGATTGCTCTCACCCAGAGCTTTCGACCAGTCACTCTGGCCTACCTCAGTGGACTGAACCAGTGAGGCTTATCGCGTGGCTTCTCTGAAGTGTGATGTCAACACTGGGTCTAAGGTATTTGGTGAACGATGTCGGCCCCCGTCGCGGTTGAGTGAAGGGTGATGGCCCCTGATATAAAAAGCCACTTTCACCCCTCTCAGGAAATAGCATTGTTCAGTGTCCAGTATCACACCGCATCTACATAGAGTCACCTTAACATTCTGTTTCACCAGACAGAATACTGGACAAGAATACCGAACAACACTACTTCCTGAGAGGGGTGAAAGAGGCTCTTTACGTAAGGGCCCATCACCTAACCGCTACGGGGGCCGACATCGTCTGCCAGATACCTTTGACCCAGTGTTGGCGTCACACTTCAGAGAAGCCACGTGACAAATCCCACTGGGTTAGTCTGTTGAAGAAGACCGGAGTGACTGATCGAAAGCTCTAGGTGAGAACAATCTCTTGAGTTGAAAATTTGACCTCAAAAAGGACTTTATACAGTGCACTTTTCTAGGTTATATACAGGGCAGAGGCATGTACATGTGCATGTACGTTCCGAGTTGCAGACCACGCAGTCACCTTGACAGAGGTGAAAACAGTTAGAGTCACCCCTGTAGGCTTCATTTCACATCAGAGAGCAGACAGGAGAGGTGAGAAGTCAATGGCAGAACCAGTTTGACGCCCATTAAGTGCCCTTTGCAACACAAGGCAGCACCCACTTAAGTCCCCTACTCAAGATTTAACCTCCTACCATCAGTATTTCAGCGAAATATATCAGACATGTTTCCCTGTACAATTCATGCAACAATATGCCAAGGGCAGAATGGGTCACGCCAGTTTGTCCCTTGACTTCATCAGCTCAGGAATAGCATGTTATTGTGCACGCACATCGTCTGTGGGCTCAGTAAATGCCTGGTAATGTACGGGACGTATGATAGCGTGTGGTGACCTCCCTGGTACTTATCTCAGCAGGCATTACTGCTGTAAATCGTATCTCTGCCATCTCTCGGGTACAGAAGGGTAAAGGCATGGGAGAAAGACTTGCCTCAGGCAGGAGGCTCTAAAGACTTTCTGTGTAGGATCAGAAGTAGGTTGTTGCCACTCTGTCAACTGGTCTAATAGACTTGATGGTACGCGGAGGGTATTTAGGCATCATTTATCACCTCTTGACAAACCAACCTCTTCCATCCTGGGCTGGCACATAATTATATATTTAATTCAAAAGTGGTAGCTCAAGACCCTTCCTAGATCCTCCTTTATTTTGCCATGGCCCATTGCTGTCAAGAAGCAAATGAAGATTATTCGTTTAAATTTAGAAAGTTAATAATGACATACCACCGTCACGAAAGCTAAGATGTTCAGTTAAGAATTTCAGTAGTTAAGACTTTCTGTAGATTCACTGCCCACTACAGCTCTGACCTAGCCTTCCTTGCTCTTTGTCCAAGTCATGTGGGTGCGCCTCCTGCACGGCATTACGACCTCACTAGTGTTACTATCCAGTTTTTAATCATTGATATTTTTGTAAATAATGTATTACATGTGTATATAGCTTAATATTGCATTGTACAGTATTTGATGTTTAATGTATTATACTTGATGTTGATGTACAATATTTGATGCTAATGATGTTCATTATTGCAATTTGTTTTTGTATTTAATAATGTAATCTGTATTTATATTCTGTATGTTGTGTTTGGGAGGACAACCTGTATAGGTGTCAATGAACCTGTTTTGTCCTCCCTCCACTTGTATATCTGGTGGTAAACTCAAATAAACGAATAAACAAATGTTTTAGTGTTTAAAGTTAAAACTTGAGACAGACTGACCCAGTAAGACTGTACGGATGATGGGCCCTGATGTACGAGGGGTGTTCAAAAAGTTCTCGGCCTCACCTAGAAAATAAAGGTCAAACTCCTATTCTTTGGTATAGCTGTATACTATGACGTCTTACATCACTGCACACAAAAATTCAAATTCTTATATTCATTAATAAGCACGTGACGCCCCATGAAAATGGGGTGGGTGAGGGAAAATCACAAAATGGCCGCAACAGACGCGTGAGCTCTGATCAAGTGTATCGATAAAAAAGGATGTCTCCAAAGGACATCCATGAAGACATGGTCAAGACACTTGGTGATGACTCCCCTTCTTATTCAACTATAAAGAAGTGGGTTACTAGCTATAAGCGCGGCAAGGAGAGCACAAAAGATGAACATAGGTCAGGATGCCACAAATCAGCACCACGGACAATCCAGTTGAGGCCATCCATCACATGGTAGTGAATGACAGATGTGAGACTGGCCAACATGTAGCAGGTTCTTTGGCCTGTGTTATGACTCAGTTCACAATGTTTTATCGAACATCCTGGGGATGAAAAAACTGTCTGCATGGTGGGTGCCTCTAATGTTTTTTGAACATCAGAAGTTAAACAGGCTGGACATTTCAAGGAACGAATTCAGTCCAATCCATGCAATTTCCTCAAAACATTTGTAACCCAAGATGAGCTGGGTTCACCACTTTCAGCCCGAATAAAAACAGCAGAGCAAACAATGGATGAAGATTTTTTTCCGGCCGCCAAAGAAGTTTTAGCGAGTTTCGTCCGTTGACAGGGTTTTTGCCTTTGTTTTCTGGGACAGTAAGGAAGTAATCATAATTGACTACATGCGAAGGTGTTAAAGCATCAATGGGGAGTACTATTCAACACAATTGCGACAATTTAGTACAACAGTCAAAGAGAAAAGGAGAGGAAAGTACCGAGCTGTCGTGATGAAAATGCACCTGTCCTCACAGCACAGGGGTCAGTGGCAGCAGCAAACGAATTTGGCTTTGAAGTCTAACCCCACCCTTCCAATTCACCTGAACTAGCACCCTTGGACTTCTACCTGTTTCCTAAACTCAAGTTTCACTTATGTGGTCAACGTTTTGATGGTAATGATGACGTCATCTATGCGGTATAGGCCAATCTGGGGGGTCCAGATGCAACCTTCTTCCACAATGGGAAAATAAAGCTGGAGCATCACTGGACCAAGTGCATTGCAGTTAGAGAGGACTATATTGAAAAATAGTGTAAGAAAAATTTTACTGCCCTGACGTTTTCTAGGTGAGGCCGAGAACTTTTTGAACACCCCTCGTAAATAACCCTTATTTACTTCTTGTTAGTGCTTACTTGTATTTGTCATCTCTATATTACTTGTATTTTAGATTTCTGTATGTTTTTATCTGGACAGGGGGCGTGGAAAAGGCATATGCCTGTTCCTCCTGTCCTGTCTTTGTGACAAATTTCAAATAAATAAATAAATAAATAAATAGATAAAAAACAGTTGCCTTTATTATGAAATCTACATGGTCATGAAGGTTGAACAAATGACTAAACACACATAGTATGTTATGGCGAATAATAGACTCTTCACTTTCATGTCTTTACATTTTCTTTTTTTCTTTGAAATTGAAAATGACATTCTACGACATAAGTATCGTTTTGAAATACATTTGATTGCAATATATGCCATATTTTCTCATTTTGCAACTGCTTTGTACGATTTACAGTATGATCGAATTTTTTTCAGGAAAGGGACGTAATTTGTAATGTTTTAATCCAATTTTACACCTGTCATTTTAGACTTAATGCTATAAGTTCTATCTTATTATTTCATTCTTTCATAAACAGTTACACTTCAACTGTTGTTTTGCAATATAGCATTTAAAATAAACTAACATAATAATAGGTTAAATAGCAACGGGCTGAGGTTACAATCTTGTCTTACACCACAAGTTGAAGCTATCTGATAAGCCATTCTTTATATAAAATTCATGCGCGCTTGGATGTCATCCATATAATCAAATCAACACGGCCTAAGTAAGCTACGCCCGTCGTCCATCCACGAGATTACAGTGATAGACGGAAGAGAAGCCGTGTGTACCTGATTACAACTTCTTTACAAAAACCCTGTATAGAGCGAGATACTGTTGCTGTAGAGCGTACACGGGCTTACTGTCGGCCAATTACCAGTAGGCGTTAGGCACCATTCATCACTGGTAATTGCCTGCAGTTTACTATAGAAGTATGGCCTGCGGGGAGACGTTAAGAAGTATATCGCACCGCACAGGTGGCAGGAAGTGTGCCTCCAACCCCGCGGGCTGGTCCGGTGTAATGTATGGCCTGATCGGAGTCCGCTTAGGGCCTTAAAAAACGCGTATTAGTGGGCGACCCCCGGGGGTCTATGGCGTAGGTGTACAAAGTAGTGCGGACGAAATTTTTTGAACCCTATCTAGACGAGGGGGGGGGGCTAAAAGTGCCAACTTTTCACATAGCGTCTGAACGGCTAGCGCTAGAACCGCCAACCTTCCTGGCTTGTCCTAAACAATTTTGTATCATTGGAATAAGATAATAATTATTTAAGATAATAATAAGATAATAATAAGGAGGTTTTTTCCTGTTCGTGTATAAAAGCGCTGCAATGCGAAACGTTACGTTCTAGGGTGAGCGGGATTGAATTTGAGTTAAATTTGAGTCACATTTTCCCTGGACATAACTCCTGACTTTCATTCATTCATCCATTCATACTCCGTATCCCGAATAGTTGTCTGGTGTTCTGCTAACTTATAGCCGAACACCAGCCAACCATGTCCGAAACCTTCCGACCAACTCTCGAATGCTTCAGCATTTTCAATATAACCGAATTTGCTGAACACCAGCCGACTTGTCGCCGACCTACCCCTAACTATGGTTTAAGGTTCGGCTAGTCTGTCAAATTTGGGAGGCCAACGTCGTGAATTGATGTGTGACAGGGGCTTTAACGAAAAGCTACCATACGTACGTTAGATCCAATCGACATGAACACGTCCATAAACATATTCAACGTAAGTCCCAGCCCATACGCTCAAGCTCTTGGAGGATTCCTGGAC